TAATAATGAATCTTTATTCAAAATATTGCTTCCTTGTTAAGGAAAAATATTTGATAATAAAATAGTACGCTAGTGCAAAAAATGCTAAATTGAGACTTAAATATCACTGAAAGGTGGCGGAAAGGTCACTGAAAGACGACATAAACGTCACTGAAAGTTGACGGAAAGGTCATTGAAAGGCGACGGAAAGGTCACGGAAAGTTGATGGAAAGGCCACTGAAAGTTGACGGAAATGTGTTCGCTGAATGGCGACTGAAAGGTATTTGAAATGTGACTGAAAGGCAACTGAAAGGTCACTGAAATGTATGTGTTCATAGAGAAGTATTTTTGATGGATTACCCAGGTGGTATAAAACAAACGGACAAACTGCTATTGTAATAGCAAATGACGCAGCTACTGCTGTGTACTGATATTTAGAATACTGCCCGAAACTTGCAAACAATTATGCAGAAGTTCTTATGTGTATGACATACTCGTTCCTCAACTATTTATGGAGACTCAGGTATGTGAATCAATAGATCTTCTAAACGTAATTAAGTAAGACTTTTATAAAGCAAGGATGACGATGTATCTTTAATGAGAATATTGGGAATGATCTGGGGTTTACACAGTCAGTACTACATGTATACATTCATAGACAGGGTTCGAGGTCAATATGCGTTTTTTTTTCGAACAGAAGAACCAAATTGTTTGCCCGAGGTTGTTAGGCCGAAAGCAGAAAGTTTGTTTGAGGGATCGACAAAAATGTCATGATGAAATTTTTTTCATGCACACTGCAGTTAAACATTGCTTATTCCGTCAAGTTCTGACAGCGACCCCGCCCACAATGTGAAGTAAGCGGTTCATTATCTCATCGACAGGTCCAACATCTCACAAGCAAATTTATTTGACCACTCAGAAAAACAGTAGAAGGCTCTACTTTTTTTACTCATAATTTTTTACTATAACAATTTTTCAAAAATTAGTATAAAAACAAGAATTATAAACAAGTTATCGGAAAGAATTTGACAAGCATAAAAAGGTTGGTGGAAGAATGTTATAACAGAGTTTCTCAAACAAATTTTATTAACACTTTTGCAAATATAACTATGATTTAATTATTCTGCAACAAAACGTTTGAAGACCTTTCATACTAAGCGCCTGTTTCGTGAAATGTATTTCAGAGTTATGGGTTATGGTTATTATGGGTAAGGGCAGGGTCTGAAGTTCTAATTATAATAAGAACTATAAAAATTCACAAAGAAATATATCAAAATATCATGCCCTCATCCCGAAATACATGTATACTCTTTAGAAGAGTTTGATATTATGCGAATTCTCGGAAACTGTACCAAGTGTTTTGATCGTATAACCTTCAAAAACATATATTTAATGTCATTGTTTTTTTCTCAGGTAAATATGTTATATAATATGTTCCTTGATAAAAACTTTCTCAATCCCTTAAGCAGTTGAAGGTTATTCCATTAAACCACTAGTGCATGGTTGATTTATTTCTCAACATTATATTCTGTCCCATTTTATTATATTATTGAAAAATGTCTATTTTTTTTAAAATTGTGTAAACATTATTATTATTGATTATATAACAAAAATGACATGTAATATCATTAGATTAAACGTACTTAAGTCATTTTTGTTTGTTGTTTATGTTCTTAAAATTAAACTACACATTTTTTAAAAATCTTACATTATTATATATGCTAGATCTTGATTTTATACAGATAAACTATGTTGAAAAGAATTCAATTTCACAAGACAGGCAGTTGACGCCACATGAAATCACAAAGCAGAATGTAGTGAACCAAATTTGTGTTTTGTGCACGAAGGAAAAGAAAAAGCAAAAATTATCCTAAAATGCTGAATGGGGTAAATTTATCAAATGTATGTGTGTTAACTTAACAGAACTGATACAGTAGAGGGAACTTATTTTGTTAAATAAATCAACATCAGCATAAGCAAAAAAAGTATCAGCATCTAATTAGCATCGGGATCTGCATTGATAATACAGAATTACCAAGACTGGCATCAGCAAGCAAAGAATAAACCACTATTAAACTAATTTAAAATAGCATTATCCTGCTAGCACCGAAAAATAAATGAATTCATGTTCAGTAAAAAATAATAAAAACAGAAAAAGAAAATTGGTTACAGTATTCAAATTATTAAAACATAATGAAATATTATTATCATATAATTATAAATCATTGAGGCATTTTCATTACATGTACTATAAACGGCAATGCTGCATTATCTATTTTCAGAAGCATAACTTTATTTTCTCTAGCATTAACCTAATTATAAAACAGGACAACTAGCATTAAATCAGCAAGCAAAGGAACATTCAAATCAGCAACGACGGACGCATTCAAATAAGCATTGATGCCGTGACAAAATAAGTTGCCTGAACTGTAATACATGCAACTGATCCCACCTCTGATGTTTTAGGGTCCGTTTTGCTCTGCGCCAAAATCTGTGTTGTTTAATGTACTATTGAATTGGAATATTTTTCGTAATCTCCAGATATTTTATTGTATAAATCTTCTGTTAATCTCTAGTGTCAGTTGTTATAATTTTAAGATAAGAAGTCATAAAATTAATGTTACATGGAGATGTAAAGAGACAAAGGTAATTGAATGAAACTAAAAACCTTTGTTCTTTAATGCAAAGTACTAAGGGAGCAAAACGTCGAACGAAATGGTTTGAACTGCAAATGTCGTTTCAACAATAATGTATAAACTTTTGATGTAACAGATGTATTTGCGATTGTTCATATTATGATCTATATTATCTGTATTATTGAAACAAACTTTTTTTATTCAAATGCGTTCAAGAGAGAAAAAAGGTGAGTTAAAACTTGTGTCCATATCGTGTCTAGATAATATTGTAATCAAAGCAACTTTTCGGGCATTTCCAACAAGCAGAAAATATCCGCTTGTTTTTTTTTCTGAGCCCGCCTGCGATATATATCAAATTTAATATTTTCAATGTTGATCATTCGGATAAAAATAAGCCTTCACTATTTGTGATAAATACAGTTTGTTAAAATATGAAATCAATGTTACACTAAAATACTAATTTCAGCAAAATAATAATGGAACTGTAAGTCTCTACTTAACATGTAGCTTGCAATAAAATTCACATGGTTCTTCAGTGATATGGTAGTCTTTATTATCCATCCATTCACCGTATACTTTCGGTAAGATCGGGTATGGGCACGCTGGATACGACGGTTCCTGAGATATGAAAAAAAGATAATTTCGTGATCCCGAGAATTCCTTTGGCTACACTAATCCGGTCCACGCAGTTTTTTTTGGGGATAGAATACATGTAATTACGGCGGATCAAACGTGGCTTCATTACTATGTTCCCAACAGAAAGAGAGATTCTAGTATATGGAAATTATCTACAAAACCAACACCAAAGAAGGCAAAGGTTTGGAAATCTGCTGGTAAACGCATGTTTATCTTGTTTATGGACAGACACGGCAGGATTCCTACACGTGATGTCCCCTCAGTTCAGAAGACAAATGCAGCTTACTATTCCAAGGTTATGCGACGGAATCATATGCATGCATTGAGGAAAAAGAGACATGTTTATTTCAGAATAGGGAAAATATCATTTACCATCAGGATGATACATCACAACTGATCAAACAAAGTTTGAACTTGACTTGCATGGATTTGCAGAATTAGTCCCCCAACATACATCCCAGACTTGAAACAGATAGATTTTGCCCTTTTCGTTTTCAAAAAAGCGGAGAGGTCAACAATTCTAAGACCTGGACTGTATACCAGACATGGTTTGACAATGAGTTTGAGAAGTGGATTGATGTAGGCATAAAATGTATTGAACATAATAGCTTAAATTATTTTTGACGTCGAATATTCTCATTGCTCCTCTTGGCTTCACATTATGGTACTAAATTTTGCTTTTCCTCATTACACCTCTACATGTTTAGGAATCGATCATTGAAATTATTAGCAAGAAAATTAAAAAGTTAAATAAAATAGAGCAGACTATTTTTAAACTGGTGGGTTTAGTATACGGAATTAGGGACAATTTGTTGATTGTTTAAAATTGTTTAAGTGTACTTGAAGATTAATACAGACATTTCTATCATTGAAGTATAACACGCCGTATTTTGGATGTTAAGTAAGCGAGTAATCAAAAATCCATGGATCTGGATCCGTCACATATCTGTTATTAACCTTGATATAACGTCTTGGAGCTGGATAAACTTTAATTAATTTGAATTTCAAGTGCTTCTAGATAGCTGTGCTTTTGATTGCAATGGCGTGTCTTATAATGAACAAAGGACGATTCAAACAAAGGAATAAAAATTATTACATTAAAGAAACATTATTTCATTATTTTTCCTATATTGAGATGGACATTTTAAATAATAAACTTACATCAATCCAAAAATAATATTTACATAAAATATTTATTGAAGTAAGTTTTAATAAATATCATGGCACTTTAAATGATTTACAATTCATTGGTCATATCACTCCGTGGTCCAGCTGATAAGCTCGCCCCACAATCCAAAGGACCACGGTTCAAATCCAATCATAACCACACTTTTTTAAACCAAATATTTTTTTGTCAGATACACATGATATAAATATAAAATACACTAAAACTATTTCACCATATCACAGAAGAGAAAGGTTTTAAACGTCAATAGCGTGTGACAGAGAGTGCCTGTTTACACAAGTATGCTAATAATACAAAATATCAGGAAGCAAATTTCACAGGTAAATCCTATCGGAAACCCCAACGCTCTAGTAAAATAACTGTCTACTTTCGTTTTATTTAAGGATTAAAAAGTATATTCCTAACATACCTGTGAGCAAAAGAATATGGTTACGTCCATATATAGAATTAAAAAAATGAATAGATGTGGGTTAAAATAAAATTCGACAACTAAGGAAATCAAAACAATAATTTAGATGGTAAATTCCCCTTTGTAGGCCTCCTGGTTTAAAAAAAGGCTATAATATGGCGGAAAAATAATGTCTCGAGGTAGTTTGATTTAGATTCAATGCTCTCCAAATTTATTGAACATTTAGTAGATGGAGATGGATTTTTTTTATTGCAGGTAATATTTTAGGGATAGAAGAAAAAATATTCCGTGCTATATAAAATATCTTCCATGTTGTTTTCTACAAATAACTCAATATTTTGTCTCATTTTCAAAACTTACTGGATAAATTTATGTTACAAATCATGAATATCTTTATTATGGCACTGATTAATATTACCAATTATATTCCTCCATACAAATGATTATAATCTTATCATATTACAATCTTGTAAAATTGTTGAATTTTGTAATACTGTAACAGTTGTACATGTCCTTTGAGCGCCTTTGTTTTGTAAATAAACATATACATTAATAATTAAAAATTAGATACGAGAGAGAGAGAGAGAGAAAGAGAGAGAGAGAGTCCGTCTTCTTCGTAAGGAACGCATAAGTCCATCACAACTATATTAATTGTTTCAGATGATATTATTTAATTTATTTTAACATCATATAATTCTATCTGTTGATTTCTTTCTCTCTTTATTGTAACTTTAAGCTTTTCAGCTTATCAGTATATACAAAATAATCAAGTCAACTATAGTACAGTACAGAAGAAGATAATTTACAGGAGAACCATTTATTGTCAAAACCTCCATGTGAATTCCATCCTCTGATTTGTAATGCATTTGGCTCTCCTAACACCTTTATTTACCCCTGAAACCTCTTCTTAATCCTTCGGTGTTTCAGATCCAGCATTAATGTATAACTTTCTATCAATGTAAATTTTGTCTTTAACTAGGGAGGCCCTCCCGTGATCTTCCTTGGCCTTCTTGTAGATGGGTACAGGCCATTTATCCGTTCTTGAATTTGTCAAATATTTCAAAGTTTCAAATGTCTTTGAATTATTCTATTACGTGTGTAAAATATCTCATATTGTAGTCAGTGATTAGCACTTGTAATGTAAAATGCATTTATGAATCGGACATAGCTCTTGTTTTAATTATGAAAACTTCCTTTCAGAGGACCAATGATCGGTGAACTAAGGTTTGCAAAGTAATAGTGATCAGTTAGGGTAAGTAAATGTGTATAAATGATTTTTTTCATGTTCAAAGTATATGAAAAAAATTAATTGCAAAGGATTATAGAATAACACGCTAAAATAGTGATTGAGATGAATCTTTTAGATAAACGGTTGTTTATTTATTAGGTCACAATAGATTTATCTTTTTGAGATTCGATTTGACCGTATTAAGGTTAATGATGGCAGAAAAGAGAGATCGTGAAGGAAAGATAGAAAATGCTGGACATGTAAGTTTATCTCAATGAACACAATAAGACACATGAAGAAATGATAATTTCTTTCTATAGTACAGTAACATACATTTAACATACACTTAATTGAGATATATAAATCACTTTTGAATTCATGTAACTGATTCAGAATACACAAAGATTTAAGACAGATATGGGGTTTTTTAAATTCTAAACGTCATGACAAATATAATATAACGACGATCAACAGAAAACACAGTTATACTTAACTATACGTACATTTGTAACACTCTTCAAAGTATGATACATGTCTGTATAATCAATGATTTAAACATTGGTAAAAATTTGCATCTCATCATTAGGTTATTAAAAGAAAACGGTTGGAGGCAAATAATTTGGCTGTCACCAGTACCCACATTTCTGAGGGCAAATGTAATACATTTACGTCTGACATAAGCGAGCATCTGTCTGGACATACAGAGCAACCTTTGACTACTGGTGAGTACAATCCTTTTCCTCTGAAAAACAATTCTTGAATATTTTAGGTCAACTGAGCCGAAGGCTCAATTAAGTACACCTGTAATACTGATAGACAATTGTCCGCCGTGTGCCTTCGTCGTTGCTGTCGTTGCCATCTTCTTCTAAAGAACCACAGGGCCCAATTTTATCCAAACTTGCCAAAAAGTATCCCTCGATGAAAGGAATTCAAGTTTAGTCAAATAAAAGGCCATGCCTCCCTCCGAGGGATAATAATTAAAAGATAGCGAAAAAATGGATTTTATCATTATAGATCTTTTTCTCATGAACCAAAAAAGCCAGAAAACATGACACTCATATGAATTCACTGTCATCTTTTGTAGATTAAAACTTTTTAAAATCATGTCCCCGAAGTTAGGATGGGACAAATATTGACTATTAAAGTTTTGCATAGGAATATATGGGGAAAATCTTCAAAAGTCTTCTTCTCAAGAACAGAAAGCCTTAATTGGTCATATCAATATGGAAGCAATGGTGGGGCCAATCCTTAAAGTTCATAATCAAATCATGACCCCAAAACCACAATGGACGATCAAATTTATACCAACTAAAGGAATATATAGGAAAAATCTTCTCAAGAACAGCAAGGCCACGCTTGGTTGCGTTTATACGGAAGCATCCTCAGTTAATGTAGATTCAAATTTGTTCTTATCATGACACCAAAGGTGAGATATGGCCACAAGGAAAATTCAAACTTGTAACAAAAATGTAGCATTTAGTCAAAAACATGGAAGCATCTTTAATTATTGTAGATTCATTTTGTACATATTCCTCTCCGCCTCCTGTTTAGGAGTAGGTCGGGTCCACATATGCATTTTAAACATTTTTCAATACTTAGCTGATTTTTTTGTGGGTTTTTTTTCTAGCCAATGCTCAGGTTAGCGATGTTTCCCTTTGGCCTCTTGTCTTTAAATTCTTTCAATCTACATTCAATTACTTTTTCAAACAAAATATATATATATACAAATGTAGAAAAAATAATTTTTTTTTTATTTTTGTTAAATCGTCCGAATTAATTTTATGAAAATAACAGTTTACCTTTCACGGTGCTTTATGCAGTCAATGTAGTGATTTTCAACCCATCATAAATGATAATTCATTCAATCTTTTGTAAGCATTTGGAGATTATGTTGTCAGATGTAAAATCTGATATCTCTTATAATGTATTATTTAACCCGAATCTTATTGTCGTCTTTTATATTGTTGGTTCTTATTGGTAATAGGAAAACTATTTTTTCCCATAGATCCGTTATAAGATTTAACAGACACACATCGTGCCGTCCTCTTTACTCTGTGTCTGTGTTGTGGTGTCAATGGTTTTATTCATGTGGATGACGACGTGTCAATGGGAGACATTGATGTCTGGAAGATAATGGCAGAGCTGAGTGAGTTAGGGCTCATCGGAAATTTGCATTCAGATCGTACCAGACGCGGGTATCCCATCCTAATTTGGGATCATTATAAGATAATGACAGAATCTTACAGAAAGCACTGTCTGCTGAGTGACATAGACAAAGACTTCTTGATAAATGTGGCATCAGACAAAGCCTTATATTGTTATATAGCTGAGACCCATTTCTTCAAGGGAGATGTTATCTAGACCACAAAACAATAGTTCTATAGCGTTAATGAGACTAATGGCGGCGGGGAAGATGGACGCAATGCTAAAAATTATGACATGTACGTATTCTTTCCTTACTTTTATAAAGCTTTAAGTAATAAAAAGTAATTACTTGCAAATCTGCTTCACATGACGATATGTGTACAGCATTTCAATTAAAAAATAAATAAAATATGTTTTTAAGGAAAAGCACGGCGAGGATTACTTATAAAATTGTTGTGACTCTTAGGTTTCTATGGTTTTATTTCAAATACAGATTGCTTTCCCTTTTAATTTGTTTTCTCTTTTGGTGAACTGAAGAATAATAATTATAAAAGCCGAATAAAATAAAAAAAAATTGATTTTTATTCTGTGTCACACAGATGGGGAAGATAGACTAGACAGGGATTACAGAAAAGCGGGAATAATCCCAATTCAATTAATCAAAGATTCGGAAGACTTTGGCAAATTTTGGCACAGCCATTGTATCCGCAGAAGCATACATCCCACGGATTGGTCTAATGAAATTTGTGATAGAGAAGTCAAAAGATATTTTTCAGCATACACAATCCTTTCTGGATCCGATGAAGGTGAACAAAAATATTTTACATAATAAATTAATTATAAAGAATAGAATTTGTTGAATGATCAAGAATTATCGATTGAATTAATTTCAAACTACATCAATTTTATTTCAGAATTGTTGGAATTAGGCTTAAACAAGCAAAAATGGAGTATACTTGTACTGATTTTGATGTCAGAGAAGTACACAGTATTATATGAAAAGGAATTATTGAAAGAGAAGGTCGGACGAATGCAAGAAACATTTTCATCACTGGATGGTTCCGATAACGGCATATCCGATAATATGTCGCTTATTCAAGATATGATACACAAGGATGGAATACTAATAATGATTAGAGGAGAAACATTGGAGTTTAAATCAAAAGATATCCGTCACATTGTTATGGGATATTTTGTTTTGAATTGTTTGAAATCTGATGATGACTATAAGAACTATTTAAAATTATCATCATTTGACTCGGTGTTTGATTATGTCCGTACTTTAGATTATGAACATGATAAAGGAGGAAGATATCTATACTTACCGATAGAGATGGAGGAGACCTTGGTAAGAGAGTCCGGAATCGACATCTTACGACACGTCATAGTGACAGAAACAAGGATAAGATATCATGTGATCCATATTTGTAAGTTATTCATGAAAACCTTATTTAATTATTGATTTCTTTCATTTCTACATAAAAATCTTTAAATGTACTACAAATATTCTATCTCGCTCGTAATATTTTCTTCGGTTCATGAGAAGGAATTTAACTCTCATTTTCTTCTTTTCTGATCTTTCAAAATTCATGTTTATTTTAATATTAAGATCATATTAAAAGGGTGGAGGTAATTAAAAGGTTATTTTTTAACAATTATTTTTAAAGAAATCGTACAAAAGAAATCAAATTAAATCCAGAATAAATATACTGTATTGGTAGATTGGATAGTCCTTAAACATTATATTGGCTGACCTAAGCTGAAGGCTCAAGTGAGCTTTTCTAATCAAAATTTATCCGACTGTCGTCGTTGTCTTTGTTGTTGTCGTTAACTTTTCACTTTATTTTCATTTTCTTCTAAAGGACTACTGGACCAATTTCAGCAAAACTTGCTACAAAGTATTCTTTGGTTAAAGGGATACAAATTTATTCAAATGAAGGGCAACGCCCTTTTCAAAGGGGAGATAATTATGAATTAGTGAAAAATTAATGGCATTAAAAATTTTTTTTCTCAGGAACCACTGGTCCACGAATGATGAAACTCATCTGGAATCATCCACAGGTAGTGTAGATTTCAGTTTGATCAAATTAGACCCCCGGGGCAAGTCTTGGTCCAAAATGGCCTATCGACATAATAATGTATTGGAAAATCTTTAAATATTTCCTTCTCAAGAGCAAGTGGGACAGGAAAGATAAAACTCATGTTGAAACATACTCACATAGTGTACATTTATAGAAGAAGGTTCACTTTTGCCTTATTTGGCCCTGTGAGTTTCTGAAAAACTGAAAATGCAAAGTTTTACTTAACAATGCCAGAAATATTACTAAGATCTTTGGTGACCTTTTATATATAAAAATGACGTCATTTTCTGGCTAGTCAATGCATTATGACGTCACGAAATGCCTCAATTTCATCATATTCCTTAAAAGTCTACAAAAACGGCCAATTTTTAAAGCTATTTTCTGATATTTGATAAAGAGCGCAACTTCTGATCTAAACTAGAGGTACTGTGAGCAATGAGCTCACTAAATGATACCCCCCGCCTCCCATAATGTCGATGTGTTGCTTTATATTGTTTTACGGTAATGTGTAAAGAGGAATAACTCGTCCTATGAAATGTTATCCAGAAGCTTCTATTATGTGACGTCATAGGTAAACAAAAAATGGCAATGTCCATGTTTTGCTCTGGGAAACCTAAAATACGTGTCGAATAAAAAAGTTAAATAGGAGGTGCACAATGGCAATATGTAATAAAGATTCTGTGAAAGTTTCATTAAATTTCACTCAGTAGTATAAGAGGAGTTGCGGATAAGAGAAAAAGCGTAACAGACGGACGGACGGACGTACAGACGGACGGACAGACGGACGGACGGACGGAAATCCCGATCACTATATACCCTCCCGCTTTTCAAGCGGGGGGTATAAATATGCAACTAGTAAATGATAAAACTGTTTCTAAGGATTAATGGATATGTTTTATTTTTTAAATCAGAGAGTGCGCTCATATAATTTTTCTTCATTTAATGTACTCAATTATACCTGTTGACCTAAAAATTGAAGAACATTGCAATTCATAAAGCCAGTTCTCCAAGACCTAGACTTTTAGGTGAAAATTTTTAAAAGGATATGAAAGCACCATGTCTATATCTCTATTTTATTTTTATGCTTCAAATAGAAGATCAAGTGCTGATCAATTAATTGGTATATCTACAGGGCCAATCAAGTGATCATGAACCGACTTCTTTGTTCAAATCATGGCCCCCGGGGTTAGGGTGAGCTACAATGGCCGATTTTAGTTTACAAAGGAATATATAGGGAAATCTAAAAAAAAAAAATCAACAACAACAAGCACTGCAAACCCATGATATTTGATATTTTATTGAAGAATTCTCAGTTACTGTCAATTCTACTTTGTTCAAATCATAACCCCCAGGGACTAAGGATGAGGCCACAATGGGGGATACAAGTTTTACAGTTAATAATATATATTTAAAAAAAATTTTTCTAAAGAAAGCAAAATCATGTTTAGTGATATTTATATGGAAGCATCCTGAGGTAGTGTAGAATTAAATTTGTTAAAATGATAACCTCCAAGGTTAGGGAAGTTCTCAATGGTGGATCAAAGATTTCCATAGGAAATAAAGGGGGAAATCTCAATAACAGAAAAGTTCTGTAAAATCATATTGACATCTTAACATCCTCATGTATTGAACATTTAAATTTGTTTAAATCGTGAGTACCCTTTGGGGAAGGGAGGAAAATGATGGGGAGTCAAAATCAAATTATTACAAATTAATATATACAAAGAAAATGTTAAAATAAATCTGCAAAAATCTTTTTCTCTAGAACTTTCTAAAGAAGTTAAATGCAGAATTGAAATTGCGACTTCTCTTAAATTTCTTAAAACTTGTTTGTCAAGTTTTTAAACAATAAAATTAAGGAATGGCTTAAAAAATAATAGCATGATAAATTTATGTAGGTTTTTTTTTATTATAGGAATGATTGACAGATCGATTGATTAAATATTGTTAAATGTCCCTCTTGAAAATGTTTCAGTTATATTGAAACGCCACCAACTGAGCTGCAAATTTTGCCCTATACTTAGGGCCATTGAGCAGAAAGGGATCTTTTTCGTGCTATAACCTAGTGAGACAGGAGACATCGGTTATACGGTCTCATCCGAGGGACCGGTCTCCACGCCCCACAGTGGGATTCGAACCCTCGCCGTAAAAATTAACTCCTTATATCGCGAATCTAGCGCAGTCACTCTTACCGCTGCACCACGCTAGCGCATAAACCATGAAAGAAAATTGGCAAATGAAGTAAAGTTGAGTGTTTATTTCACCAACGTTTTCACAATAAAATGATTTATCCTTTGAGAGCTAAATCTCAGTGCATTATATTCATAGGCACTTTTCTAATTTTCGACTTTTATTTTCATTCTTTCAGTAAATATTCCTGATGAAATCTTTTTGTGGGATAATGAAGCAAGATGCAGGTACATAGAGTGTGCAAAGAAAGGGACACAGACGATCCATAGGGCCCGTGCTATGATTGTTGGTTGTGCTGGAGCTGGAAAAACTACCCTACTAAAACGACTACAAAAGAGACCTCTTGATGAATTACAACAGGTTCAATCTACAATAGGCCTAGTTGTACATGAGGATATCTTTGAAATTTTAGACGAAAATCAGATTTTAAAAGGTAAATATTATTCAAATTCAACGCTTAAAAATGCTTTTTTACACTTAAGCGTAAAGAAAATACAAACTGTAAATTCCTTCTATTTTGCGAGTACTATTTATCGCGAATTGGGTCTTCAACAGCAAATCGTAAGAATAAGAAATCGCCAATGAACAGTTGATTAAAGGTTTTAAGTATAGGTTTCAGCACCATAAAAATAAAGACGACTTATCTAATTTTGCGTGTGGTGCTTTTCGCGAAATTACGCGATAGTTAAATTCACATGTATATTAAAGAATCTACAGTGATCGGATTAATGTCTGAATGTTTTCAATCCTGTCACATTATTCAAATTCTGATTGAACACATAAGTACTCTTAAGTTGACATCAAGAAGATGCTTGAGTTTCTGATTGACAATATCAATGTTGTTTTTGGAGAACAGGTATTCCAAAAATCTATTGGAATTTCCATGGGTACAAATTGCGCTCCGTTATAAGCGGAGCTATTTTAATATTCATATGAAGCAGAATTTATGCAAAATCTTATGCGTGAAAAGAAGAAAACACTTGCTGTTTTAACAGCAACTGTTTAACTTCAACTCGACATTTAGATATATCAACGACGTATTGTCAATTAATAATGGTAAGTTCCATTCCTACATTAATACAATATATCCAGGTGAGCTTGAGATGAAAGATACCTCAGAGTCCGACACTTCTGTTTCATACTTGGATATCTTATTTGAAAAAGACACTCATGGTAATCTAACAACCAAGCTATATGATAAACGTGGTGACTTTAATTTTTCTATCGTCATCTTCCCATACTTATGCAGCAATATACCTTCATGACCTGCATACTGAGTATATATATATCTCAGTTGATTAGATACGCAAGAAAATGCTCTACGTATGAACAATTTCTAAATCAAGGTAAATTATTAACAAGGAAGTTGACGAAATAAGAATATCAACAGTCTCGTTTAAAGTCATCATTTCGTAAGTTCTATGGTCGATACAATGACCTTGTCAGCAAATACAATTTATCATTGAGTGAAATGCTGACTGACGTTTCTCATACCAATTGTTATTCCATCATTTATACACTGAATTGACGACGGATTCTTTTTCCGTTATTTCCTGATCATGACAAGGAGCACACAGCAGGCGTGACCGGTCATCAGGGGTGCTCACTCCTCCATGGCACCTGATCCCAACTTTGATGTTTCGGAGGTCCATGTTTGCTCTGCTCCTATTTTGTATTGTTTAATGGACTTTGAGATTGAATACTGTTCGTTATCCCCATATCGTTATTAAATAAATCGGATAAAGTACGGGGGTTATCCGAAAAGTATGTGGACAAGCTAAATTTTAATTCTATTTATCAATAACATATTTATAATCCTTTAAGGATGTGAACTACAAAATGTAGAATCCTATTGAATTTCAAATGCACAACTACAATAATGACTTCGATATTTGACTTCGGATGGCGACCCAGAGCACTACACAATTTTATTTAATAAGGAATTTATTTCTTTATAAATGGTATTAGTATTTTGTAAAATACCATGAAGATTTTCGATTTTTTTACATTATGCGGTGGACAACATTTGCAACAAAATTTGAACGTTCAACGTTTCGAAATGGCTGAAACATCGAGGTTTTAATTTCTTAAGACTGAATCGACGTTGTTAAAAACAGGGACGTTTTTTAAAAAAAAAGGTGGAGCAGAGAGCAATGACAATAATCTGCACAGACATAAAAAATAAACACCAACAGAGACCTATAAGTTCTATAAACATCGAGAATACATAGTTAAGAAAAGTGTCTTTTAGTTATTAAGTAGCATATACGATTTTGGAAGGAAGGAACGGTTTACAGGATGACATGTGTGAAGGAAGACCATTATTCCAAGATTGCAGAGCTGTGAAAAATGATTTTCGTAACGTGACTTTGCCACATTTTGGTACAATGTCGTTTTACGCTGACAGAGGTTTGATTGGCAAGTTATGAAAAAGGCATTGTTTAAAATGATTTACATATTAAACCTGAACAGTTGTGCACATTTGGTGACAGTTGAACTATTTTAAGAAATGAATTGAATTAAGGGGTGACTACGAGGGTTGTCCCAAAAAGTCGTAGACAGGGAAATTCTCTTTGCTAAATCAAATTTCTTTTCTTGTCATAGGAAAGGGAACATTTTATGGTAATGTATTTCAAGTTTCATGACGATACCACATTAAATAAGAAAACTATGAAAAAATAAAGAAAGCATGTATGTGTACATCGGCGCATGAAAGTAAGCGTAAATTACGACTCTCATAACGCCATGGTCCCCTTTTCTGCTGTACATGAGGCTATTAACATCCAAAGGAATATTTTTTATAGCGAAAAACCACCCTTGACTAAGGGAAATTTTAATTTCACTACTGTCCGTTTTCTTAAGCAGATTCAAGTTTTAGTCAAAATTAAATAGTTGAAAGATCACCTTACATTTTAGGCAGCAGAGAATACACCTTGTTTGACGATGTTCATAGCCCAGAAAATTCCAAAATGTCTGCGTTGAACAATCAGTTCTCTACTTTACATGCAATAACCTTTTTTTTCGATATAGAGGAAAAACTGTCTTTGAATCTCATACTATAAAAAACAACTTTTCTATTAATATAAAATATAGTGTGTAATTCCTTTTGGTTCTCTTTTCCCCCGTCTCTGATGAATATAAAATATACCAAAAACAATTTATTACATTTCCGTGCGCCGGGTAAGCGTTCGACGACGTCATTTTCACCAATTTCAATTCGAACACAATTGAAAATCATGCCACCAGTCATCTGTTTCTAATGCTATTGATATGAAAATTTGACATATTATTTAGATTTTGATTCTGGTTTCAGTGATTTAAATTTTAATTCAATGTTTTACATAGTACCAAAGAAATAAAAACAATTGTAAAAGTTATATGCGTAAATTATTCCGAATTTTGGTCGTGCACCGACAGCCCGTATCGGCCGTCATATAAATCGTCACAATATAATTAATATGAAAGATGTATATTTAAGAATTCACAATTTTAGAGAACATTGAATGTATTATGCCTATGCAGAATTTGGTTAGTATTGGTTGCGTTTTAAAAAAGTTATTAACATTGTCTACGACTTTTTGGGACAACCCTCGTATGTTTAGAAAAATTACATGTAATAAGCCTTTCACTCGTGCAACGCCAAGGGTTTTCGTTATAGTGCCTCGGGTATGCGTGTATGTCTTTTTCACACAAAAATATAATTATCTGTCAAGTGCTTAATTTTCTTTTCTAAAACTTAAATATTATTTGAATGAATCATGAAAAGAATGAAAACAATAGTTATATATATTTGATCAATGTTTGTCAGTAATTATTAATGCTGTCTACGATTTTAAGGCCAACCGTCGTATAGCTATGGAACAAGTTTTAAACATTGTTTTAGGCGCACCTGAGCTGAAAGCTCAAGTGAGTTTTTCTGATCACCAGATGTCCATCGTCCGTCTGTAAACTTTTGACATTTTCAACTTCCTCTCGAGAACCGCTGGGCCAATTTTAACCACTAATTGCTACAAAGCACCCTTGGTTGAAAGGGACTTTAAATTGTTAAAATGAAGGCGCAAGTCCCCTTACAAAGGAAGATAATCAAGATAAGATAAAAATAGGTTGGGTCATTAAAAAATCTTGCTCTGAAGAATCACTAAGCCAGAAAAAATGAAAATTATGTGAAAGCATCCTGGGGAAATGTAGACACTAAATTTTCAAAATCATAACCATTGAGAGTAGGGTGGGGACACAACAGGGAATCCGATCTTTACAAGGAAATATATAGGAATAAAAAAAAACAAAAACACTTCGCAAGAATCACCGGGCCAGGTAAGCTGAAACTTTTATTGTAGCATGCTTGGGAAGTTCAGATTCCGAATTATTTAGATTATGACCCCGGGCATAGAAATACATAGAAAAAGTCTTTTAAAATCTTCTTCTCAGGAACCATTGTGCCAAGAAAGCTGAAACTTCTGCGCAAGCATCTTTGGTTAGTGTAGATTCTAAAGTGTTAAAATCATGACCCCAAGGAGTAAGGAAGGGCCACGAAGGGAATCCAAACTTTACATAAAAATACAGTGTATAGGAAAAATCTTTAAAAATCTTATTCTCAAGAGCTACTGGGCCAGAAAAGCTGTAATTTATGTGTAAGCATCCCAGAGTAGTTAATTATAAATTTTTAAAATCAGGACAGGGGGTAGGGGGTACAGTAAGTAAAACAAGAGGGGAAATCTAGTTAAGAAAGAAGAAAGTACGGTATGAGCAAAAATCCACCCAGTCCCAAATTCTAATTAAATTGTTCTTGAAACATGTCTAGGATGAACACTTCCTAAGTCATTTTAAATTTTGTTATTATCTCAAACCATTTCTCAGAGAGAGCTCTTTAAATATAGGTAGTTTTTGTAAGAAAATAACGCATTGACCTTATGACGTCAACTTGACGTTATCGGATTTTGAACGTTTTATTACCGATACAGGGTAAAAGAAGAATAAATGTTGAACTAAAAAAAGCTATAGCTTACTCTTCTGTTTCGTTTTTGAGCTATTCTTTAAATGTGGAGAGAGTTTAAATTTCGCTGAATTGTCTTTACTGGAAATTTTGTTGGTCATTGATTTTGCCAGTTTTTCTGAGAAAACGATTCATCAAGAAAGTCAATGGAACATAATTTTATGCTTGAAGTCCATTTTTCCAATATTTTGATCACGATTAAAGACGTACAACACACTGGGGGAGATAACTCTTGCGATTTCAATTGAACGTTTGACGTGACGTCAAATTTAACGTCAAAAATAAAGCGTCAAAATGACGAGTAAAACGATCCCGATGTATATCAGTCATAAAAGAAAAATGTGATATGGGGCTTGGCTGTGATTATGCGAATCATACTCAATCAATAAGTATTTTTTTAATGAACCCGATTAAACTCCGTAAAAGCGAGACATAAAATA